GGCGATCCTTCCGCCTCAGCCTTCCAAGTAGCTGGAACTACAGGCGCGTGCTACCATGCCCAGCTGATTTTTTGATTTATTGTAGAGAAGAGGTCTTGTCAAGTTGCCCAGGCGGGTCTTGAACCCGCGGGCTCAGGCAATCCACCCACCTCGGCCTCCCAAAGTGCTGGGATTACAGGCTGAGCCACTGAGCCCGGCCTGTTCTTTTTAAAGAACAGTTTTGGTGTATGGTTATCTACCAAGCTTTGCCTTCCCTGGGAGGTCTGCTCCTCCCCTCCCTTTCCTTTACCTGTTAATGGCACCTCCATGTTCCTAGTTTGCAGATGCAAAACTATTGAGTCATATTGGCGTTCTTATTTCACATCACACAGAGGAGTTCTCAAATGTTGTCTCTTTTGCCTTGTACTGTGATTCTTCCCCAGCTGTACAGTGTCATTGTTCTCATGCACACCTCTGTTGTTCTTCATTGCCCCTGGGATGAAGGGAGTGCTCTGGTCTAGCATTTATGTTTAGAAGGTTTACCTCACCTCGCCTTCCCCAACTGCCCCAGGCCTTGGCCAAGCCCAACCACTCAGGCTTCTACTCTTCACTGTCCCACCTGTGTCTGAGTCTTGGCGTCTGTGTTGTTTCTAGAGGAGCATCCTTCCCTTATAACCTTCACATTCTGCCCTTTCTTCGAGTTGAGTTCTGGTGTGGCCTCCTCTGCAGAGCCCTCCTCCACCTGTGTCTTCATGGGAGCCTCGGCAGTGCCCTGTCTAGCCCTCTCCTGTGGTCTTACTGTTCCCCATCTTGTACTAAATATTAATCACACTCACTGGCTCTACAAGAACTGCAAGTATAGACCTACTGAGACTTGGGGAAATAATTCAAAATAAAAGATTCCTGGGCCCCACCACATGGAGATTCCAGTTCAATAGGTCTGGGGTGGTCCTGGGAATCTGAAATTGCAAAATGCTCCTAAATTTTTCTAATTTGTGGTCAGGTGTTTGAATCATTGGTCTGCACATTTTAGTTGTTGATTCTATCTTTTGAATTGTTTAACTTTTGGGACATGTTTATCTTGTTTAAATTATATTGCAAACTCTTTGGAACTTTGTTCTCTCTGCTGTAGGGCTCAGCAGGACAGATGCACAGTAAATGTTGAGTGTTAAGTAAAAGAAGAGATTGAAGGAAAATCCTTCAGCGTGTGTCTGCAGTGGAAATGGAAAGAGCATGTTTCTCAGGGGAGGTGCTGAAAAGAGAGAATACCCAGCAACAAGTCACAGCTTAGTAAGGGATACATAGCCCGTGGCATCATGTGTGACATTTCTGTGTTATGATTGAAGATAATGAAGAGAAAATAACCTAGGTCCATCTTCCAAGCCTAGCATGCATCATTCCTGACAGCAAAATGTGCGATCACATTTGTTCCTTAGAAAGGGGCATCTGTCACCTCACTGGTGTGGGCATTGTATGAGAGAGTATGCTCTCAGTGTTTGTCCACAAGACCCATCAGCAGGGACTCCTGGTCAGTTTTGCTATTAGCATAGCCTGGAATCCCTTGTGTGACCCTGTCTAGTAAGTGCTATTGAAGGTGCTCCCACAGCCAAGGGGAAGTGCTTAGCATGAGCATGACCCCTACAGTTGCAGTTCTTCAGGTGCTTCCAGGGAGCATGCTTAGGCCAGAGTACCTGGAAGGGCAGCACCTCTGCCTTGCTCTGCTTCCAGCCTGGCCTGTCTTTTGTGAGACGTGTCCGTGTTCCATGTAACTGCCATATCCTTCAATAAGTGAAGGTAAGAAGTGACTTCCTGGCACCTCTGGTCACTGCAGAGTAGACCTGTGTGCCACTCTGAGGCTGCTTTGTCAAATGCAGACTGACTCCGCCCCAGCTCCCAGTGACAAGTGGTCCTCATCACTGCTCCAGTGGGATGTCTTGCTGGAGTTTTGTGGAGTCTGTGCTCACAGGCACGCAGGCTTCAGCTCAAGCCCCCTTCTCCCTCCCTTGCAAGAGCCCCATGTGTCATGGGTTTTTCACTCTCTCCTGCCCTTTCCAGGTCAGAGGACGACAACGCGGAAAGCAGGCGCTCCAGGGTGACCCAACTTTGCACTTACTTTCAGCAGAAATACAAGCACCTGTGCCGCCTGGAGCGGGCTGAGTCCCGGCAGGAGAAGTGCCGGCACACCTTCCGGAAGGCCCTGCTGCAGGCGGCCAGCCGGGAGCCCGAGGGCACCGGGCAAGTGATGCAGGAGCTGCGGAGGGCCGCATGCAGCCGTGCTGGGTGAGACAGGGGCTAGGGGTGGGGGTTAGGGGACTCTGTCCTTGTTCTCTCTGGGAGGGAACAGTTGAGGCACAGTGTGATGTGGGCAGTTCAGCCCCAAATTCTCAAGCACTGTATTTTGGTTTCCTTGCTGCATTCAAGTGCCAATACCACTGCCATGAGCCGAAAATCAAGTTAAAGAGTTACTGAAATGCTGATGCAATTCAATTAAAATTTATGCATTGACGATTTGAGAATGTTAACCTGTTTTAAAAAAAAAATAAAATGCTTAGAAATTTCATGTTACATAAAAATAGTCATTTTTTTAACTACAAAAGTCGTATTTTATGTTTTTTTACTTGTATTATTTAAAATTTTTCTTTTCCGTGTGTTTTCTATTAATATTCACTTTACCCCACATAGTATGTATTCAGATAATTTATTATGATGAATATATCTTGGGGAAAAACCTTCTTTTTATAATGAAGATTCTTGTTTATTGTGCAAATTTGGAAAAATATTGAAAAAAGAAGGGAAAAAGTTTCATAAAGTCACCATTAGCCGGGCTCAGTGGCTCAGCCTGTAATCCCGTGCTTTGGGAGACTGAGGTGGGTGGATTGCCCGAGCCCGTGGGTTCGAGACCTCTTTGGGCAACTTGGCAAGACCTCATCTCTACAATAAATCAAAAAATTAGCTGGGCGTGGTAGCGTGTGCCTGTAGTTCCAGCTACATGGAAGGCTGAGGCGGAAGGATCGCCGGAGCCCAGCAGGTTGAGGTTACGGCGGCTGGGAGCGGTCAGAGCACTCTAGTCTGGGTGACAGAGTGAGACTCCAACTCAAAAAAAAAAAAGTCACCGTTCACAAGACAGAGAATGAACATGGTTAACATTTTTATTCTGTTTCCATCTGGTCTATTTCTGTGTGTACGTGAAATCTCCAGTAAGGTTATATGAAAAAGCAAAACTAAGATCATGCTATATGTATTTTTCATTGCCTGCTTATTTCCATTTATTACTGAATTATGAACATTTTGCCCTGGTTATATACTATTTAAAAGTTATGTGTTTAGTTTTGTTCCCTTAAAAGTATACTGTAAGCCGGGCTCGGTGGCTCAGCCTGTAATTCCGCGCCTTTGGGAGGCTGAGGTTAGTGGATTGCCTGAGCCCATGGGTTCGAGACCCGCCTGGGCAACTTGGCGAGACCTCATCTCTACAATAAATAAAAAATCAGCCGGGCGTGGTAGCGTGCGCCTGTAATTCCAGCTACTCGGCAGGCTGAGGTGAAAGGATCGCCGGAGCCCAGTGGGTCGAGACTGCAGTGGCCAGGAGTGGCCACTGCACTCCAGTCTGGGCGGCAGAGTAAGACTCCAACGCCCCCCCAAAATAAAAAAGTATACTGTAGCCATTTCCCTATGTTATTAAAGATTCTTTTGGAAAGATGATTTATAATGTTTACATAATATTCCACTGAATGAAAATCTATATAATTTGGGCTGGGCATGGTGTTTATGTCTGTAATCCCAGCACTTTGGGAGGCAAGAGGATCCCCCAAGCCCAGGAGTTTAACAACAGCTTGGGCAATGTAGTGAGACCTCGTCTCTGTAAAAAAATAGCAAAATTAGCCAGGCATGGTGACATACGCCTGTAGTCCTGGATACTTTGGAGGCTGAGGTGAAAGGATTGCCTGAGCCCAGGAGTTGAGACTGTGGTGACTCGTGATTGTGCCACTGCACTCCAGCCTGGGCAATAGAGTGAGACCCCCAACTTAAAAAAAAAAAGAAAAGTTGTATATTGGAACTGATCTGATATTTTGAAGAAACATTGGTATGTTGTCATGCTAATAGTAATAGTGAAAACCTAACTAGCACAATAATTGCATGTACTAGATTATGTACCTTTTATTCTTTTTTTTTTTTTTTTGAGTCGGAGTCTCACTTTGTTGCCCAGGCTAGAGTGCAGTCGCACGCTGCTCACGGCTACCGCAGCCTCGATCTGCAGGGCTCAGCCGATCCTTCTGTCTCAGCCCTACCAGTAGCTGGAACTACGGGCACGCGCCACCAAGCCCAGCTCATTTTTTGATTTAGTGTAGAGACAAGGTCTCGCCAAGTTGCCCAGGCTGGTCTCCAACCTGTGGACTTAGGCGATCCTCTCACCTCAGCCTCCCAAAGTGCTGGAATTACAGGCTTAAGCCATCATGCCTGGTGATTATGTATCTTTTAAAACATTAGTTTATAGCTGGGCTCGGTGGCTCAGCCTGTAATCCTGCGCTTTAGGAGGCTGAGGTGAGTGGATTGCCTGAGCCTGAGGGTTCAAGACCCGCCTGGGCAACTTGGTGAGACCTCATCTCTACAATAAATCAAAATTAGCCAGTTGTGGTAGTACACGCCTGTAGTTCCAGCTACTTGGAAGGCTGGGGTGGAAGGATCGCCGAGCCCCGCACGTCGAGGCTGCAGTGGCTGGGAGTGTGCCACTGAACTCCAGTCTGGGCAACAGAGTGAGACTCCAACTCAAAAACCAAAAAAAAAAGTAGTAGAAACAAACTCGAGATTTTTTATTTTCATGCCTGCCTTGGACTCTATGCAATAAGCAGATTTCTTTCCCATCCTCAGACATTTGTGAAGGCTTCATCGGCTGTGATGCTCTGTAGAATCACAGAGCTAGGATAGTGTTTGTACTTGTAAGAATGTAAACATTGTTTATTTGTGCTTTTTAATGTTTGTATAAAGAAACGAAAAACACTGCAAACTACTGCAGTGAACACTTCCTGTCAAGGGGTCAGGTTCTGGCTGAAGGCCCAGGCCAGAAGGTTGGAGGCTGGGAGGTTGGGTCTTTCTCCTTGCCTGCTGCTCTCAGACTTGTGACCTTTTTTATGGTACCATGTGGACGTATTGCCTATTCACAAAATATAAAAATCAGTTAAGGCTGGGTGTAGTGGCTCGCGCCTATAATCCCAGCACTTTGGGAGGCCGAGGTGAGAGGACTCCCTGAGCCCATGGGTTAGAGACCAGCCTGGGCAATTTGGCAAGACCTCATCTCTATAACAAATCAAAAAATTAGCCAGGCATGGTGGCACGTGCCTGTAGTTCCAGCTACTTGGAAGGCTGAGGTGGGATGATCACCTGAAGCCAGCAGGTGGAGCCTGCAGTAGCCGTGACTGTGCCACTGCACCCCAGCCTGGGCAACAGAGTGAGACTCCAACTCAAAAAAAACAAAAAACAAAACAACAACAACAAATTAGTTAAAATATTTAAACATTAAGTGTACACAGTGGAGATTAGATTTGAATAATGAAACATAGAGTTGCACATGTAGTAGGAAGTTTAAAATACACCCAAGCTGGGTGCATCTGGTCTCTGGTCAGCATCCTCTTCCCAAGTTGGGTCAGCTTTTCTGCAGATGTGCTGTTGAGCAACACAAGGTATCCCAGTCCTAGTCACGCCTCCCCTTGCCTCTTACTGTCTGTTTGTGCTCCCTACACCCCTGCCAAGCAAAGGGCACTTGGTTGTGTCTGCTTGCCAGGAGAGGAGGTTTAGGCCTCTGTGAGACCACATCACTTGTCAAGGTCACACAGCCATGGGGAGGCAGAACTGAGGCTCAGAGCCAGGGTGGCTGACTCTCTCATATTTTTCTTTTTCTTTTTAAATTAATTTCAATTTATTTATTTATTTATTTTTTGAGTTGGAGTCTCACTCTGTCACCCAGACTGGAGTGCAGTGGCCACTCCCGGCCACCGTAGCCTCAACCTGCTGGGCTCCAGCAATCCTTCGCCTCAGCCTTCCAAGTAGCCGGAATTACAGGCATGCGCTACCACACCCGGCTGATTTTTTTATTGTAGAGATGAGGTCTCGCTGCCCAGGCGGGTCTCGAACCCGTGGGCTCAGGCAATCTACTCACCTCAGTCTCCCAAAGGTGCGGGATTACAGGCTGAGCCACCGAGCCCGGTGCTCTCATAGTTTTCATTGCTTTTATCTCCTGCCTCCTTGTGGAGAAAAAAAAGGAGCCAAACGTCATTTAAAGAAGAAACACAGCAGACAGCCATATTGGAAACCTATTGTGATGTCATCATTTGCTTGGATTATCAGAGGTTGGGGAAGCAGTACAATTGGTCATCATTGTGATGCTTTCTTTAACTCGTATTTGCATTTATTTCATGACTGTGGATGCTGTAGATAGTTCTAATGTGGACGTTGCAGAGTGTAATACTGAAAATTACCCTGCATTCTGGAAGCATTTTTAACATTAATTGTGTGTTTTTCCTTCTGTAGCATAAGCCAGACCAAGTGGCAGGAAGCAGAACCTGCGACGTGCAGTGGGGCCTTGAGGGGCGAGCAGTGCCCGAACAGGGCCCTCCCGTTCACCAGGCACTGCTTCCAGCGTATCCTTGGCCAATGGGTGGGTGGCGTGGGGGGCTGTAGATACATTTCACATCCAGTGAATAGCTTTTTTTTTTTGAGCCAAAGTCTCACCTGTTGCCCAGGCTGGAGTTCGATGGCACAATCATGGCTCACTGCAGCCTGGACCTCCTGAACTCAGGCAATCATTCCGCCTCAACCTTCTAAATAACTGGGACTACAGGTGTGCACCACCGTGTCTGGCTAATTTTTTGATTTTCTGTAGAGATGAGGTCCTGCCATGTTGCCCAGGCTGGTCCCAAACTCCTGGGCTCAGGCAGTCCTCTCACCTCCACCTCCCAAAGTGCTGAGATTAAAATCTCATTATTTCTTTTTTTTTTTTCCCCCAAGTTGGAGTCTCACTCCGTTGCCCAGGCTGGAGTGCAGTGGCACGCACACTCAACGGACACCCCAACGTTGGCCTGCTGGGCTCAGGTGGTCCTTCCACCTCAGCCTTCCAAGTAGCCAGAACTACAGGTGCATACTACCACGCCCGGCTAATTTTTTGGTTTATTGTAGAGATGAGGTCTTGCCAAGTTGCCTAGGCTGTTCTTGAACCGGTGGGCTCAGGCAATCCCCACACCTCGGCTTCCCAAAGCGCTGGGATTATAGGCTTGAGCCACTGTGCCCAGCCCTAAAATTCCATTATTTCGAAATTGTGTTTTGTCTTCTGAGAAAGTTGTACAGTTTTACAGTGCCTTTGTTGGTGGCTTCACTTGATTTTTGTAATGGGCTCAGTGTTAGTTTAAAATGAATGAAATGTATCCAGCATCCCTGACTACACAAGATCAGCCACCCTGCCCCCAATAGCGGGCTTGGGGAAGACCTGCTAAAGAGCCTGGAGCTGGTGGTGGAGTCCTGTAGAACTGGGGGCATTTGCACAGCTGCAGCAACTGCTTATTTTCTCTCTGTTTAATTGTTGCCCTCCATTCTGTTCTTGGAGTTGTCTTTTCACAGCTTTTCAGCAGCATTTTCTGTATATTAAAGGCTTTATAAATAGCCTTAAATATAAACCATAAATATAAACCATAAAGGAAAAATACAAAGGTACTTTCTTGTAGAAATAAGGCAAAATTTTACGGAAATGTAGTGGCTAAAAGTATAAATGCTTGAAGATATTGATGCTGTACAGCCAGTGTTTCAATTTTAACAGTAAAAGTATGATTTAAGAGTAATTTTTCAGCCAGATATGGTGGCTCTTGCTTGAAATTTCAGTACTTTGGGAGACCAAGATGTGAAGATCGCTTGAGCCCAGGAGTTTGAGTCTGCGGTGAGCTGTGATGGTGCCACTGCACTCCAGCCTGAGCAACAGAGTGAGATTCAGACTCAAAAAAGAAAAAAAAATATTTTTCATACATTGTAAACTTGGGTTGGTGTTAGAAACGTGAAATGAATTCAACTTTGGACAATGAGTTTTTATAATTAAATCTTTAAATTTTATTCTTGAGTATTGTAGGCAGAAAGTTTTCCTTTTAGAAGTTGAAAGTTTTTTAACTATTAGGAGAACTTTAAGTGTCATTCATGTGTTAAGGGAACCCCACCCTGCTTCTCCAAATAACAGAATTTGTTCAGAATGGTTGTCAGGGTGACCAGTGCTAGGAGCCCATTAGCAGGATAGATTCTTTCAGCAGCCTGGTCTGATCAACACTGGTGATCAGTTCAGCTGTTACCATTTTCCCACATCAGCAGTTGGGTTGGTACTTCAGCTTTTATAGATAACACAGTCTACACTTGTTAAATGTGAGTCAGGGGAGAAGCCGATTTTCCATAGAAAATGACAGTCCCTGGGGTACCAGTGTGTTTTGCCTTGACCTGCGCTTAGACATCCTCGCAAACCGCTCCCAGCAGCTCTTCTCCAGCTGCACGGCCAGGTTCGCTGATGGGCAGCAGTGTTCTGTGCCGGTCTTCGACATCACGCACCAGACACCTCTGTGTGAGGAACACGCCAAAAAAATGGTGAGTCTCCAGCAGGGGCTCTCAGACATGAGTGGCTGGCTCCTTGCAAGGTGCTTTGCAACTTGTTACAGACTGGGGTATGTAATCACAGAAACAAGATTTGCAAAGCAATGTTTTGTTACCTTAAAGTATATATCTTGTACATAACAGGTTTTCAAACTCTCTCTGTCCCTCCTTCTCTAGGTTTTTGCTTTCTTAGGTACAGTTCTGCTCATGTCTTAAATATTTGACAAAAGTTCAGTGAAAAACAAACCTTTCTATAATTCTGTTGAACTTAATTACTGCTTTAGTTAATGCTAATATCATAAACTCTAATTAATTTAGAATAATGTGGAAGAGAGACAAATTTGAATTAGTGGGATATCTGAATACATAATCATTTAAAATAAGTGTATATTTTTCTTACCCACCAGGCATGTATCACAAGGTCATATACTAGGCACCTTATGCACTAGACAGCCAAGTAAGACCCAGGTGCGCACTGGGTCAGAGAGTGAGCATAAATCCCGGCATTGGAGGTAAAGCTTGTGCCCTGGCCGGCCTTGGTACCCATTGAGTGTCTCACTAGGGATAAGACTCAACCTTTTTGGGCCTCAGTTACCCTGTATATAGTTCACTGACTTCTTCACCAAGAACCCCTTTTGATTTTCAGGTTTCTTTTATAGACCATAGTTTTTGTTTTTTGAGTAGGAGTCTCACTCTGTCACCCAGGCTGGAATGCAGTGGCCACTGTAGCCTCTACCTGCTGGACTCAGGTGATCCTTCCTTCTCAGCCTTCCAAGTAGCTGGTACCACAGGCGTGTACCACCACACCCAGCTAATTTTTTTGATTTATTATAGGGACGAGTTCTCGCCATGTTGCCCAGGCTGGTTTCGAACCCCTGGACTCAGGCAGTCCTCTCGCCTCTGCCTCCCAAAGTGCTGGGATTACAGGTGTGAGCTCCCTCGCCAGGCGATAGCCCATGTTGTGAAACATTTGTGGGTTAAACTGCATATAATGTTGACCCCTTCCTCCCACACACTGCTTGGCTGTGAAGGGCAGCATTTCCTGGCGCTTTCGCTGTAACAACTTCATCTACTTTGTGGTTGTTTTCCCTTCTTACTTGGTTGTTGTTTGACTTCAAGAAAAAAATTGTGGTCAGTTCTTTAGTCATGAATGTTGCCTCACTGGTATTAATTTTGCTTTCCTGTTGCTCTCTGCGCCTTTCTGTGACACAACACTTCTCTCCATGCTAGAACCAGCAGCACTGCCCCTTAATTCAAATAAGGCCAGTACATAGAACGGGCATCCTGTCTGGGTGTGTGTTGGCAGTGCCCACCAGAATGACTGTTGCAGGCTGACAGCAACTGGAAGCTGCCATCAACTGCAAAACACTTCTCAGTGGCAGAAGTGCTAAAGTGTAGACCTTGGAATCAGTGAACAAGGATGTCTTAGTCCATTCAGGCTGCTGGAATGAAGCTCCCTAGAATGAGTGACTTATAAACAGCAGACATTTTCGCCTTACTGTTTTGGAGACTGGGTATGGATTAAATGATTTTGGGGGGTTTATTTAGTTATGATTATACATCACTTTAGGCATATAGTATGTTTTGGGCATTATTTCAAATATTAAGAGATGTAAGTATTTTTTAGATAGCTGTTAGGTCTTTCCTAGATGATCTCGGTTAAAAGTAACCCACTTATTCTTTCCCAAGGATAATTTTTTGAGAGGAGATAACTCCCGGAAAGTTCAGCACCAGCAGCAGAGGAAGCCCAGGAAAAAAACCAAGCCTCCTGCACTTACCAAAAAACACAAGAAGAAGAGGCGGCGTGGACCACGCCGACCACAGAAGCCCATCCCACCCGCGGTCCCACAGGGGAACCTCAGCATGCCTGCCAGCGTTGCACTGCCAGCGGAGGCCACACGTGTCCGGTCAGTGTGGACCATGACTTGTCCTTTCCTACATTTGTAGCAGTTCTCAGGACACCCAGCTCCATGTGGAAGGCCATTTGTCCTGCTGGCCTGGGCTTTCCCCTGTTGCTAGTGCCGTGTTTACCTGTGGTGCTGGGTCTAAACAAGGCCTTGGATTACAACAGGGAGAGCAGGTGCTATGGTCAGGAATTCAGTTGTATACTCTCAGCTTTTTGCACTTTAACAGAATCTGTTTCCCCACAGAAACCTCCTATCAGAAATACAATGTGTTATTAATTCTGGCAGGTTCAGTGTGTTGGCCAGATGGATGAGGCTTCTGTCTGTTGTGTACTTCATTGTGAAAATTGTGATTGTAGCCAGGTGTGGTTACTCATGCCCGTAATCCCAGCACTTTGGGAGGCAGAGGCTAGAGGATTGCCCAAGCACACAGGTTAGAGACCATCCTAGGCAGCATGGCGAGACCCCGTCTCTACAATAAATCAAAAAAATTAACTGGGCGTGGTAGTGCATGCCTGTAGTTCTAGCTGCTTGGAAGGATCGCCTGAGCCCAGCAGATCAAGGCTGTGGTAGCTGTGAGTGTGCTACTGTACTCCAGCCTGGGCGACAGAGCGAGACTCCGACTCAAAAAAAAAAAAGGAATTT